AGGGAATTTTGAACAACCGCCATATTCTAGCATTGCTTTCAGTGCTTATGATGTTGGGTGTCGATTTGCCTCACGGCATGGCCTGCAGGCGCAGCTCCATGCTTGGTTTCACCGCCCTCGTTCTCGACAATGCCTGCATGATGCTCATTGCTTCGCTCCACTCCTGCTATTGGGGCCAGTGAGTAGCGCTCGATGATCCTTGGCCTCGCAAACCATGGCCAGCTGAACTGATCCCTCCATCTCCAACTTGCACATGGCCTCGTAAAACTGGCCGAAATGCGGTATCGCAGAGAGGCAGCCATTGCGGCATCGCTTCCGCCACTGTCCATCTGGTGGGCCTAGTGGATGAGGTCCCTTCTCTGGAATTTGATCTTTCCAGACATCCATACAGGGTGTGTCTTGCCATGTTTGGATATGGAACAAGGTGCGCGCAGACATCCGTTCCATACCCCGCTCCGTAGGATGTGGATCGTCGAGCGGTTTCCATACCCCCTGTTCCCAACACCTGACAAACAGCGACATACTGCGCTCCATCAAAGGCCGGGGTTTTTGAGACATCCCCACCAAAGCCACCGGCGAGTCTTTCTGTAAAATCAAGGTGTGAGTGCTTGAAGGACCTTCTGCCTACGACAAGCAGTCAAAGTAGTAAACTGCCTACCACAAAGATGACATTGTGTGCTTTGCGTGCGTTATGCTTGCAGGCGGTTGTACGCCAGGGGCCGGCGGCACACTCTCCAGAGAAAACTCTCTGCTCCGGCTCATCGGGGAAGAGGCGCCTCCTGAGGGGTGCCGCCATCTCCAAGAAGGATGAGTGACACGATTTCTTCTGTGACGTCATGCACCTCACGCTCGAGCGTGGTTCACCAACCCTTGCATCCAGGCTGTTATCTGCTCTCCGGTTGGCCGTTGCGCGTCACCAAACTGCGACATAGAACCGCCGGCATCACCTGTGGAACGGAAAGTTCGGCAGTTCGGAGGACTTTGCTGCAAGCACTTGGCAAGCCTGCGACTTTCAGCTTCCACCCTGCAACTAAACCACCAACCGGGCTGCAAAAAGTGACGCCGTTGAGGTTACATGGCAGTGAGGAAGGAACATTTGGTTTGTAGCACGCTTGGATTGTCATTTCTCGACATAGGGTTTGCACCAAGCAGCAGGTTTATATGACAAATCCTGTTTGCAGATTCTGATGATTAGTAATAAGGAGATAGGTCGTACCGCGACCAAGCCAGTTACCATCCACAGGTATAGTGATGGTAGCTCGAGAACAAAAGCGAGCCACCCTCTTCGCAGTTTTTGACTGATGTTCCTATGGCGGTGGAGCTATATGAGCGACAGACTAAAATTCCGTCTCTTGACACATGTCTAATGTTAATGTCGTTCAGAATTCACCGAAATTATGCGACTAACCTGTAAAAGGAGATGGTCACCCCCAAATAACATCAAATAACGAGATCAGCTTTTTTGTGTTTGAATGCAAATTTGTTGGAAAACAAGATTCAAGGCCCGACTCAACTGCTGTACAACGAGATAGTAGTAGATTTGGTCAGTTGGTCTCAAGCTGAGTAGGAATGAGATGGTCCCCCAACATGCTCCGGAGTATGATGGAGTATGTAAGACGAGATGGGACGAGGTTGCAACACGAGTATGGGAATTTTGACCATAGGCCAGACAGCAAAATTTGTCTGCTGCTCATACAAGCAGGTGGCCCTTGGCTATTTCGCTGGCTGCAGGCCCTTCCTGCGAAATCGGGTGCGCTGCGCAGCTCCTACCGCCCGTAAGATGTCAGGTTGTCGTCACGATGCAACACTTGCCGCTGCAAGCTTGGCTGCATGGAAATGCCGCAAAGTACTGCTTGTATGGTGGGTGGCTGAGGCAGCTGCAGCTGCATGCGTGGAATGTCAAGACCTGAGATGACCTGAGTTGTACAATGTTATACACTTGACGGACTTCTTGATGGGATTGTCATTCCCTTTTGCACGAGTTGAGAAGGTCAAGAGCCTGTTGCTGCCAACAGCGTCCTGTTGGAGCGGGCTCCCTAGAATGCAGACCAAGCTGGCCCCGAACGTGCAACTTTGCAATTAAAACGCGAAGCTTGAAGCCGTACTCACAGCGAAGACCAAGGATGCTGAAGTTGACTGGCACCTCCGATGAGGCAGATGACCGTCTCCCCTTGCAAAGCCAAGAAGGGCCTGTGGAGGTCTTGCCAGATGGTCCGCAGATGTCCCGTGCTCAGAGAGGTGCTGCTTCACATCCTTTGACATTGACAGTCGTTTGAGGTATCGCGATCGAGGCCTACGTGCTGCCATTTGGCAGGCCCCATGACCCTACGAAAGCATGCAGAATTGTGCTTCCACCATAGTGATCTTAGTGTTCTTGCCTATGTGAACGGAACCTGTTTCAAGTTTCAGCTTCCCAGGCCTCTGGGCATCAGATCACTTCATCGCTTGGTGGTGCCAACGTCCTGCCCGGGCATAGCGCAAAAGCTCCAGCGCTTTCTAAGCAAGTGTCCGCAACAGTGGCTCGTGCTCTGCTGGATGTTCGACGTCTACGCTCAATCAAGTCTCAAGTGGACGAATGATGGTGGACGCGCTGTGAACATGCTGCTGCCAGCTGCACTCCTTTTCTGCTTGCGATGCATCGACACTTTCTTGGCATTTCCAATGTGGTGCGCTTGCAGCCACCTGTTGCATTGATTGATGGCTTTTGGTGCCCAGGAACGTGGAAAGCAGTTTGAAGCCCCATCCGCCCAGTCCTAGCGAAGCTGCTCCAGCATTCAACGAACTGAGCTGTGACAGATAGGGAATTACCCCGGCTGGCTTTCGATGGCTACGTGAAATGTCAAAGTGGCACAACACACAGGGCAGTCACCCCGCTTTCGCTGGGCCCCTGGGCGTTCTGAATTGGACCCGGCCCGTGATCTGTGACATGTGCATCTCGCTCTATACATTGGAAAAAATGGTGTGAGATGCTCACGTCGGCGGCGGCCGTCACTCCCGCAGAACTCGCTGCGCTCAACTTGAAAACGAGGTCAAGCTGATATGGTGCTGCCCGTCAAAAGAAAAGTTCTGCATTTGGCTCACCAAACTTCTCGAGGACCCTCGTCGAGCACAGACAGGCGTGAGCAAATGCCCAAATGTGAGCAAATGTACGCGCTGAGCACCTGGCTTACAGGACATGAGCCCAACCAGCATTAATGTGACACAGGCTTCAGCACATCATGATAAGCCGCTAAGCACCACTCAGTGAGACTTGACAGCAGGCTTGTTGGCATTTGTGTGCCCTCTAGCTTGCGCCGTGGGTGCCTTTCCATAGAAACTGTCTTCTCGGCCACATGGATGCAATTTGAGGCAGTGCTGCATGAAAGTCCTTTCTGTGCCATAGGACTGGGAATCGTGAGAGGGCTGGCTTGTGGCGCCAGAGTGTTCCCGTTCCATTCTGAGGCAGCCAGTACTTAAACAAAGCCGCGATGAGGTCGAACGACCCAGAACCCCTCCCAAGGAGGGGACCCCAGCCCATGTTTCAACTTCCAAGACTTGGAGCCGCAGAGCCGACCGAAAGGATCTTAACGAGACACATAGCAAGCAGCATGCAAGGGAGATCAGCGGGAACTTGCGCATCATCATTCTGCCCAGAAAGTCACGGCACCCTGAGCCAGCCGTAAATCCCAAACGGTCCCAAGGATTGACCCCCAGAGCCAAACCCTATTCCGTCACGGACCCAAATCCTAAAAAGAAACCGAGCAGCCCAACCCTGAAGAGCAAAAGAGCCTGAACCCTTAGTGGTTCGGCCCAGGGAGCCCTAGCTTTAAAGCATAGCGAATGTCAGTCAAATGTCCAATGCTAAACCTTCAAGCCCAAACAGGGAGATACCGACCGCAGACCCTGCACCATGAGCCACCAACCCTGAACCCCAACTGTCCTAAGCATTGGCCCAAAGCGAAACCCTAAGTAGAGTCACTCGTCCCAAGTGATTGTTCTGAGTCGTCCCAATTGTTTGCCTTTTTTCCTTGCACCCTTCCAAGTTGTGTCAACGCCGAGCTTTGGCAAGGACCCTTATGCCATTGTATTTCCCGTGACCATGCTGGTAACATGGCACATGTCTCGTGGCTCCAATCCGAGGTGCCGAGCATGCGGACGAGTGCTTAGTTAAAGGCAGGCGATGTTGCATTCATAGTTACACTGATGTATACGAGTTTCCTGCAGGCTGATGAGCTTCAGTGCAGAAGCAGTTCAGTCCAAACTGGAGGACCGAAAAGCGGGCTAACTGAGACATGGTGCCTTCACATTGCTGACGGTTGAAAGCAGGCTATCCTTGCGAGCAGCCACCGACAAGTTGCGGCCCGATGTACGTTGTATTGTGCCGAGCTTGTCGAGGCCCTTAAGGCATGCTCATGACAGAGGAGTGGCCGAGTCGTTTTTGTAGAACCATTCGCAGGCCGCTCGTGAGGACGAGCGCCAGCAGATTCGCGACAGGCATCGATTCCAAAGTTGGAATGGTGCAGTGTCGGGTGTGACATTGATTCAGACAGCGCATGCACCTTTGCCAGCCCTGTAGCCGGAATGAAGCATGCACGGCATTGCGCGGACGGCATTGCGCGGCAGGCAAATAGCTCAAATGTCTCCGGGATCAGCAGGCACAGCTGGAGCGACAGATAGCAAGTTCCTGCGGGCTGTATGTATTCGATATTCTTCAATTGAAGGTCACTGGGGCGTCGGTCGGCTGTGAGTTTTCGCGCTAGCGCAGGGCTGGCTCTTTCGGTGTGTTCACTTTCGTCTATGCAGGTGCTTGGACGCGAGGTCGGGGTCCTGACACAGGGCTTGAGGGGCCGGGTCTGGAGCATCGTTGGCTTGCAAGGAGCAGTACATCAAAGGGTGACAGTGACGTGGCCTGACATGGGCAACAGGTGTTCTGTTCTACTGTCATGTCTAGTTGCAAAGCCAGGATTGTGCTAATGGAGGCTTTTTCGGAGGTGGTGCATGAATGCAGCATTGACTCTGTGGAATGTGGACCACTTCACGTTCACGGCGTGCACAGCTGATGGAGGCTTTTTCGGGGACAGCTTTCCCCACCAAGAGACGCAGGACTTGCTTCGACGTTGCGGCTGCAAACAGAGTTGTCTACAATGCGCAGTGTCTTCAGAACCCAAAGTTGGCGCAGCAGCCCACTCTGGATCAGTGTCACACGGATCGTGCCAGCCCTAGACAGCGCAGTGTGTTTGTGAAGCAGGACCACAGCTTGATACGTGCTTGAGGCACAACGGATCGGGATTGCGAGTGGATCCTGCGTACAGCATTCGAGATTAGAAACAAGGCAGGCATGGCCGTACCCTGTGGGCGCAGTGAACAGCCTACAGAAGCTTAATGCAAGGTGGTCCAGCGTCGAAGAAGTTCAAAGGAAGCCCTGCAATCTCTTGAGGAGGTGGATCTGGTCGAAGAGGTGCACGGAGAAGTTGAGCTGCAAAAGCAGTAGATCCATGTCCATGTAGATTCCCTACTCCTACTGCCACCACAAGAAGCATGGATTTGGTCTTCCGGCGCTTTCTGCTGATCTGCTGAAATACAGGCCACCCGGAGTCGCGCGGTCTCCATGCCACGCGGCAAAATTGAGAGTTGGCTCACATCTGATGGCCGAGGGTGTGTGGATTCTGGTCAGGAGCAAGAAGCAGGTGCCCTCAATCCTGGATCCAGCCCTCGTCGAGCACAGGGCTTGGAGGATCCGAACCTGAGTCAACAGGTTATTCTTTGTACCAGGCGCAAGTCACCGCTCATGAGCCGCAATGTGCCAGTAGCAGCTGCCTGGAATGTGGGCGCAACCCAGGCTTCCAATCTGGTTTGGCAATGCGCTTCCTTGCACAAGCCCCTACATTGCGCTGCATCTGCTGCTTCACAACACATAGTGCAGCTTCCTTTCAATACAATCCTCTAAACTGACTCCAGCATCTTCGCCAGTTCTTGCAAGTTCTTGTAGTTTTGCAGCTAGGTCCTAGTGACTTTGCAGCAGTTTCCGGCAAGTAGTTCAACTAACGTACAGGAAGCCTCGTAGAAGCATATTCTTGGAGATGTGGTGCTCTCCCAGGCGAATCAACTACTTCCGCCACATGGTGCAAAATGCCATCAGACTCTGGCAGGACTTTCGCACTACCGCTTTGCATCGCTTTGCGCTTTGCGTGAAAGAATGCTCAAATTGATTTTCCAGCTCCGAGCCTCAGCAGGACAAGCTGCTGGATGATACTCCGAGTGCTTCCCCTGGTTGTACAGTGCAAGTTGTTTTCGATGGAGCTGAGGGATTGCTTGTGAGTCATTAGTGCGGCAGGCATCATTTGCTCTCATGCACGTGTCTATTGCTGATCTTCTACACCTCTGACATGTCTCAGAGAGCGTCCTCGCAGGCCTTTCACGGAGTGCCGGAGGCTCAGTGGCCTTAACAGCGTCTAGACAGTTTTTGAAGCCGGTTGCTGTCGAAGCTGTTGCTCAAGAGGCATTGAGAGGTAGCTGCCGGAATCCAGTCCACCGGAGTTAAAACGCCGGGCCTTTCATGAAGCTGAGATCATGTCATCACACGCGCCTCCTGAAGAGGATCATGAAATCACCAGGGACACAACACTCATCGTACCAGATCCCCTAGCTGATGTGGCTAATGCCTTAGGGACTGCTATCAAAGTCATTCTACTTTCACAAGAGCGGAAAGGTGGCGTTGAAGAAGGATCCCTGAACCCTCACCCCCGAAGACGCCAGGAATCGACATCAACATTCAAACGAGTGGAATTCACATCTCTGCCGAGTGATGCAGAGACGTCTCACTAGCATCATGGTGTTAACGAACTTGTGCATAGCATCTGTGCATCCGGGGCAGCAAGAAGGAGTTTCCCGTGGAACAGGGGACGCCAGATCAAAACGTTTTTATGCTTTGCAGATGCGAGCTCTGTTGCACTTTGGGTGTTCCAGCATGCTGAGCAAGAGATCTAAGGCAACGGTCTTCCCCGGAAATGTCCAGGGCAAGGCCTGGCAGAGCCGCGCTTCAGCACTCGCAGCATTTTCTCTGAGATGTCAGGCCGCTAAGTGGTCGGCCAGGACAGCCTCGCGGACAACACCGCTGGACTGCCCATCTACCATGCAGTCAAGGACAGATCTCGCCCCATGCCTTGACAGCGAGAGCCTGGAAGCTCCAGCCTTAGTCTGTGAAGCAGCGAAGCACGCAACTATATGCAATGCAAGCTTTTGTGACTCTGTGTAGCTTGGCCCTGGTAATCAGCAAGTGCAATCAGAGCTGCATCGCCGAAAGAAAAGCTTTGTGTATCTCTGCACTCTACACATCACTATCGCTCAACAATGTTGAGCAGAGTCACCTGTTCAAGGAAAGCGGGAGGAGCCCTTACCGACACCTGATCTCGTGAGCTTCCCAGCTTTGCTTGGGTCTGCATTGAACACCGGCAGCCAAGCTACAAATGGCTGTGCACAGGCTCTGAGGCGTGAGCATGTTAGGGTTCATTTGAGCAATTTCCTAGTATTAGGAACTCAGGAAAATGAGAGAGAAAGTGCCAAAAGCGAGAAGACCCACCTCCAAAGTCACATTTCTCAATCCAAGATTAAACCTGACTGGATTTCGGTTGAAGCCCAAAAAGCGATGCCCTCGTTATCCTGTGTTCAATCCTGCGCTCACACCTCCTAAAAGCGATACGACACCCATGCCATCCATAGCAAAGGATAACAACGGAGTTTTAACCAACGCTTATGGGACCTTTTTGTACCCAGGTCATGTTCAACTCTCTCTGCCAAGAACTTGGATCTCCCAACGGAGCCCACAGGTGACAGGAGCCTGCAGACAGCATGCTGCGCTGCCAATGTCTACATTGAGCCAAACCAGAGTACTATACATGCACGCCTGAAGAGCCGCAAGTTTCCACTTTAAGAAAACGAGTGTGACGCTTCGTACCTGCTAAGCCAGAGGACTGCGGCATCCTCCGTCAAGGTCAGACTCCCAGCCGCAGCGCTGCTGTATGTTGATCCGGGGGTCTGACTGTATGATAATTTTGTACTTGCTGATGCATTTGGTGATCTGCTCAGTCCACGACACCGAAGAGTCGCAGAGAGCTGCACGAGGAGCAGAAGTGATTGTGGTTGGCAGGGGGTGGGGGGTCAATCTCTACTAGGCCCAAGCGTCGTGTGTCCTGTGTTCAGGATTTGGGCCGAGAACTGGAGCAGCCGACAGCTATGTTGTCCTTCCAATTCCGGTCTTTCCAGACGTGAGTGGTCAAGAATGCAAGTGAAGAGGCATGTTTGACCAACGCCGGAAAAACGACACAAAGCGTGATACCGGAAAAACGAAACAAAGCCTGATACGGTGATATAGTTACCCTGAGACATAGCCTGACACATGCCCCCAAGCATACTCTCACAACACGCCATGGAGCAAGAGCCTGCTACTTTCGAAACGCACCTTGAAACAAAACCCGAAACATAACTGAATCCCAAGATGCTTTTTTGATCAGCCTCTTTGGCCAGACGCTAATGCGGCTAGCAGTCCATGCTTTGCGCGTTTTCAATTCGTTGGCGCGCAGAAGGTTTTGGGTTCTAGCTGTTCTAGCTGACCTTCATACACGAAACGGGGCTGATGTCTGGCAAAAGTCAGAAGGGGCTGCTTTCAATTTTGGCGTGGTGCCGAGGCTTGCAAAGGACCTGCGCAACGTGCAGCTCTCAGCTTGACGAAAGGCAACTCCGATTGACGGGATTACCTTGAAGACTGACCTCAGGCGCAGATCATCAAGTCTTATTGAGGGGGAAACTTCTGAAGATGCTCGTGGTAGCCAACCACGACATGCAGAAGTGCCATGCGCAGATGAGCTGTTTCACGTCTCTTAGGTGGTGCAGCAACGGGATATTGCCATCAAAGATCTTACATTGGAAGCTGTCCAAATTCCCAATTTGGTGGCTGCCGCAGTGCAGAAGCCATCATCTAACGTACAGTGAGCGACAGCTCTTTCTTAAGCTTTCTGCATGCCATGGCCGATAGCTCTGGAAGCACCACCTGCAAGGAGGGAGTGCCTGATGTGGCACACCATCCTCAGGCCTCAGGGGAAACATCTGTGCCCACGCAGCTGCAAAGCTTGGTTTCAAAAGCCTCCAGATCATACTTTGCCTGCACGTGCACTGTCACGGCATGCAGGTTGCAAGCTCAGTAGCTAAGCAGGACACAGATTGCCAAAGATTGCCCGGACTCTTGGCTGTACTGACTCATCCTGAAGATGGCCTTGCGAAGAGATGTCTCAACTAGTCACGATGCAAGTTCAGCAACATCGCTTCTCAAAGGAGCCCATTCAAACGAGCTCATGGACTCATCCTGATCTGGCATGCTGTTCTAGCATGTCAGGTTGAAGTAGGCCCTTCAGCAGCTGTTCTGCCTGATGCATGGAGCAGCAAGGACAACGCGGACCCAGATGATGATGCCGTTCTCAGATTGTAGCGCATACACCGCTGCCAGGACCAGCACAGCAGCTTCAAATGTCTCCATCCAGTCAGTTTCCAAAGCGAAATCCGCAGCCTTGATGCAATCCAAGCTAGTCATCCCCTCATGCACTTGCCGTGGGTCACAGCTTCCTGTGGAGCGCTCAGGACAGCCAGGAGACGTACCTCCAAGGCTGCATAAGACAGCAATGCATTGCTCGACGCATTTCATGAGATTCTGGTCGCTCAGCCAGTGGCGGCAGAAAGCTGCAAATGGGAGTACGCAGAGTCATTTCTTGGAACGCGCCAGGTGTTGAGCTCTCCCAGGTAGAGCATCCCTGCTTGGCTGCTTGCTGTTCATTCCAAAGTTCAATCTGCAGTTGACGTATTGGAGCCGCATTGTTTGACTCACGATTCCGCAGCCGCTACTCAAGGCCATCCGTTTTCAGTTGGTGGAGTTCAGATGTGCTATTGTGTGACAGCGAGTGCGCAATGCATTGCAGAGGGCCCCTAGAGAGGATTGCCAGATCGACTTCCAAGAGAGCTGAAGCATGGTCCTTTGCCTGAAGTCTGACAAGCGAAAACGACTGGTGAAGGCGAGCGACGCCTAGGGTCTTTCATCCTACTTTTCTAAGCGAGCTACTGGTAGGCAGGTTCGATATCGAGAGTAGCGCCTGCGTCTTGCAAGTCTTGACCTTGGTGTGGAGCATCTGGCAGGCCAAGCTGGTTCATGTAGTTCGGCATGGCGAGGCCACGAGCATCTGCTTCTGGAGCTTGGAACATTTTGGGGGCATTGCAGGCACAGCACAACATCCAGGACAAGTACCTGCTTCTTAACTGCACAATGCGCCATCTTGGCCTTTGTTTGGAGAGCATGGACCTGACGTGGCTGCACGTGTTGTGAGGTGAGCCACAACCGTTAATCTCCATGAAAGGACCTAGTCTTCGGGCGGCCATGGTTCATAATTTCACGCAAACCCTGCTTACCGATAGGGGAAACCCAGAATAAGAATTTTGGCGCGAGCTCAGGTTGAAGCGTGATACAAAGTTGACAGAACGTGGACGTCGCCAGGCAAGCCAGCAATGCACAATTCCGGTGGCCACTCGATTCGCTTTTGTAGGCGAAGTCCCTGCACACCCTGCTGCCAAAGCTCAAGCCCGAGGCCGGGAGAATGCACGGACCCTGAGCCGACACAGCACAAACTTTGTAATCAGCAAGAAGCAGCAGCCCTTTAGGGCGGTGCCGGCAACAAACACAGCATCCAACACCCACGATGGGAAAACCTCTGATGGGATTTCATGACTCGGCGAGCGCCAAACTGAAATCGTGTCGAGACCTTTTCTTGTGATTGCGTGGCGCTTGCAATGAAGGGGAACTCGCAGCCTGACTGCTTTGCTTCTGCGATGAATTCGCACTTCTGTGAGCCTCTGCTTCTGCTGGCAGGTTGCCATGACGTCTGCTGTTCTCCGCGCATTGCAAACAACTCGCTGCATGGGCATCCTGCCTCGAACAAATGCAATGCACGCTGACCTTGTTCCAGAAAAAGGTGAAATCTACCTGTTCACCTGACAGATTGTTTCGTGAAGTGCCGTGCCAGCATCGAGGCTTCATGGGCAAGACGATGGTGGTTCCAGAGGTCCTGCTTGCGTGCAGAGTGTGTGCAGAAAGTGTGTGCCATGCATTTGGCATTTCGCTTGCGCTACATCTTACATCTCCTGGAGGCACGTGAGGTGGCTGGGTGGCCTGCCAATGATCCCATCGACACGAAGCGGGCTCTCGCTGGCAACTTGGAGATGCTTGGCACTGGAAGATGCAAATTGTCCCTTACAACGGTTAGAGCAAGTGCAAAGCGCGCAAGGTATTGCTCCCAGCCATACTCACTGGACTTGTAGAGTCAATGGCCGATTCTTTTGTTGCTGGTGCGCAGTGTTACTTAAGTCCTCTCATTCATGGAAGCGTACTAGGACGCGAGAGGAATTTCCTCATGTCTTCTGTGTTTCAGGTCAGCAAATATCAGAATATCATGACTTCTTCTGTAGCAAGTTCATTGTAGGTCGGGTGTGGGTTATGCTCCAGCATACGGATCTGAGGTCTCAGTTCGGCAAGTACGACTGGTCCTTGGTAGCCAAAGGCATCCCAAGTCCCCAAGCGACTAAACCACGCAAGATTAGAGCCCGTGCGGAGGCAGCCGTCAGACCGGTGGAAATGGTGGCCAAGGTTGGGAGCGTACGGTGCAGATCAAGGACAGCTGTGAGTGATGGCTTTTGCCTTGGTGTTCTGTAGTCGTAGAGAACACAGAGTCCATAGGGCTGCACTGCTGCAGGATCGGGCACGTCGCCTAACCAGGCTCTGGCCTGAGTTGCATGATGGCTGCCAACAAAAGCCAACAAGTACTCAAGAACTCCTACTCTGCATGCCCGGTGATCTAGTAAAATGAGTGCCGCACCTCGCCAGCAGCACAGCCCGTCTTTGCGGCCAGGCAGCTGCATCCATTCACTTCTTGATTCTTAAGTTTTACCTGGATGACAGCCTGCAGGGGAGCATTTGAATGGAACACAGGGTCGGTTTTAGCACCCGAGGACGATGGACGAGGTCCGGCCGTTGCCACTCCATCCCACGCTTGCAGCCGAGGCTCATCGAGCGGAGGCAGGAATCCAGCATTTTGCTTGCGAAGGGCTTAGCATCGTTTCGACGAATGATCGCACAGATTGTAGCAGCCGTCGAGCCCAAGGTGTCGCATGGTGAGTTCCTGCAGCATCTCACCAGCGACAAGTATATGCAAAACTGCTTCCCGCCTGCAACCGCCAGCATCGCCAAAAAGAGATGGGTGAGGTTGAGGGCATGACATCCAGAAGCTGAGTCATGGGTCCCCCTACTAGGTTGCGTGTTTGTAGTTTGCCTGGTGGTTTTGGGCTGTTGGGGCTTCGGGGCAGTCTCGCGAAGTATTGATTTTTGCAGGGGGTTCATGGTCTGGCCAAAAGCATAAGCGCTCGAAACTAGTCCGTTTGAGCATACGAAGGCTGGAAAACACTGCGCCTGGCGGTATTTCGTACACATGAGGGTTGTTCTAAAGGTCC